ATTTGCCTTTTTAACAACACCACAGGTTTTTCAAGAGTTTTCTGCAAGTGTGAAAGACCTATATGCCACAACTTAAGTTACAAACAAACTTCTTTGTCAGGTTTTAGTGTGGACTTTACATCAGAATTTATTTGACAAATTGTAAATAAAGTTTTTTTTTTTAATTAAAAAAACAGTCTTGTCAGCATTCCGTCTCAGAACATCAAAGTGCTTTGATGCCTTTGATGATGTCATGAAACGTTCTGAGACTGAAGTTTGCAGGTTAAAGGTTTGGAGAGCCAACTTGATTAAGTTCATAGAGAGATTTGTTCACCGAAGGATCGTACATTAGCCCACCCCCAAAGACTAAAAGGAAAATGTTTACTACAAGAAAAGCAATCCTGGACAGCCATGTTAAGGCCTACATCAAAGACTGGGAGATAGAAGTCTGTAAGAAACTGCAGTCCACCAAGGTGTTGCTCATTTCATGCAGGCCTAAAGAAAGAGCCTACCTGAAAAGAACAGTGGAGACCCTGTGTGGCGTCCTCGATTTGTTCCAAGGTCAAACCACAAACGACAAAAGCAGCAAAGAAAATCTGCGAGAGGAACATGCAGCTCTCAAAGAGAAGCTGCATGAAACTGAATACATGCTGAAGCATGTTTCTTACAACCTCAAAGCCCAGAACAAGTTAAATTGGGACCTTAAAATCCAGCTTAGACAGTCCAAAGTTAAGTATTTCCAGGCCGCAAAAGTAGCAGAGACAGCAAAACAGGGCCTCAGTCGTCAGCTGAAGGAGCTCCAGGAGAACTCTGCCTTACAATTGAATGAGGAAATTGGAATCAACAAAAGTCTAAAGGCCAAACTGGAGGAGGCCCACAAACAACTGCAACAATTTCAGAGTAATGGAGTGGAGAAGGACTCAGATGACGACGATTGGGATGATGGAAGGATGGATGACGAGAGTAGTTCAGCTAACTTTGACGGTCATACATATGTGTCAAATCATTGGGTCAAAGAGGCCTCTGATGATGGCGAGTGGGATGGATGGATCTATGATGACATTAGTTTGGGCAACTTTGACAGCTTCACATCTGTGTCAAGTCATGGGGATGAAGATAGATGGCTTGATGAGGAGATCAGTCGTGGTCCCTTTGGCAATAATACATCTGTGCCAATACCCGAGATGGATGAGGAGGCACCAAAAGACAAGGAAGACGAAAAGCTTCTTCAGCGCAAACAGGAAGAGCTGAAAACCAACCTTCCTGTTAAAGATGCTGAGCCTATCGAAAAGGTAGAAGAGCAAATGGTTCACCTTAAGGTTTCGCATTTCCAGACAATCATAAACGACACTCTCAGTAAAGGTTTGAAGAAGCAGGAACCCATAGTGAAGCGCCAAGGAGTAAAGATCATCGAGCTTCAAGATGCTCTGAACTCGGTTGAAGAGCAGCTGAAGGTCCATCGTCAAGAGGCAGCAGAAGTCCTGCAGCAGAAAGAGCAGGAGTGGGCGGAGAGGATTCAGGAGATGGAGAGGAAGAAAGAAGACAGCATTAAGAAGCCCAAAAAGAGGAACTGGTTTGTCCGGACGTTTGGATGCTGTTGTGGGAGTGAGACTGCACCTTAAAGACACTAGATCTTGGGGGCGCGCTGGTGGCGCAATGGCAACAACAAATCAAAAAACATGACAACAAATTACAAAACACAACGACAAATAAGAAAACACAACAACAAATCAAAAAACACAACAACAAATCACAAAACACAACGACAAATAAGAAACACAACAACAAATCACAAAACACAACGACAAATAAGAAACACAACGACAAATAAGAAAACACAACAACAAATCAGAAAACCCAACAACAAATCAGAAAACCCAACAACAAATCAAAAAACACAACAACAAATCAAAAAACACAACGACAAATAAGAAAACAAAACGACAAATAAGAAAACACAACGACAAATAAGAAAACACAACAACAAATCATGTACTCCACACAGCCCTTTTTTCAAACAGAAGGGCAGACACTCTGCACATTTCTAACACAATATTTCGAATTTCAATACTTTGTACTCAAATGTCGAGATTGGGACTTGAATTGATCCATAACACTACTTAATACTCAAATACAGAGGTTTATGGTTGAAAAAAGTGTTTTTAAGGTTTAGTTACTCTTTGTAACACAAGGGCTGCTGGTGGCGCAGTGGTTCGCGCGCCCGTCCCATGTATGGAGGCTGTAGTCCTCAACGCAGGAGGCCCGGGTTCAAATCCAGCCTGTGGCTCCTTTCCCGCAGGTCAATCCCCACTCTCTATCCCTGATATCCATCTCTGTCCACTGTCCTATCGCTCCATTAAAGGCACAAAAGCACAAAAATAAATCTTTAAAAAAATAAGATAAAATAAAAAGCAAAAACACCAAGATTCCTTCAAGAGTTTGTGTCGGCATGTCGGCGTGTGTCCACCCCCCCAAAGCTGTAAACCTAGGGGAAACACTGCTTACTTTAGACTTTAAATCCCTGCTCTCTGCTGATCGTGCACTTCAACTTTTACCATCCTGTCAATTCTTTGAAAACTTTGAATTGTCACTGTCAAAAAAAAAACAGCAATATTCTTGAGGCAGCGGGAAAAAAAATGTCTACCCAAGAAAATAAATTGCTTCCTCATATTCATATTTGCACTATGCTCTTCTAAATTAAAGAGACCTGATGATCACACAGTGTTTCCTGTACACAGCATCGGCTGTAGGAAAAAGTACAGGATGGGGGGGGGAATATTTTTCATATGCTTGTCAGTGCATCATGTCAGCCCACACTGTCTGATCTTATCTGATCTTACAAAACTAACACCATGGCATTATAGTGTAGTTGCTCTAAATCATCAGGCAACTTAAATCATTTTAAAACAACCTTAATGTATAATGTATAATTTAATTCATAATGAATGGTATCATACTATCATTGAGTTGATAGTGTTGGCCAGAGTAGTTGGTGTTCTTCTAAATCAGTTGACAGGATCTCTTGTTTTCCCTCTGTTCCTGAGATAGCTTTTAACCCCCTCAGGACAACATTGATATGTATGGGAGGCGTCATTTTAACGCCTGCAGCAATCAGCACCATCTATTTGCTGCTGCATATTTACGTATCATTTCAACATGATGTGTTTTTTGTTTTTTTTTCAGTTGTGAGTCTAACATCTGGAAAGTCTATAAACACAATGCCATGTTTTCATCTCTTTTATTTACCAGCTCTCTACACTGTAAGTTAGTGGGAAACATTGTGGGTAGCATCTGAGACTTTTACAAATGAGCCACATTACAGGACTAAACCAGCATATGTTTTAAAACCTCTAGGTGTTTTCTCACATTTCTTGCTTTAGATGGTAAGCTATTTTTAGACGTTTTCCACAGCAGGTCCAACCTCAGTTAAAACTATCTCTTTTCCCCTGGAGAACAAAGTAAAAAAAATAATTTGTATTCCAATAAAGTTGAAAGACCTGGAAGCTATGGAGGAAAATATTAAGGGTTATGAGTTTTAACACTGTGGACACACGTGTTATAAAACCTACTTTAGTTGTACCATTTGAAGACATCAGAATCAAAATCTTCAATTATGTGGCAAAGACGGTTTCAAAAATGACATCAAATTATATGAAATCAGTATGTAAATGCAAACGACAGAGCATGTGAATGTTTTTATGTCTTGAGTCAATCCCTACTCTTTGCACTGAAAAGGAATTGTTATTCAAAGACATGCATTGATTTATTTTTTTTGGTGTCAAATAAAAAGAGTATAGAGCATCATCTGCTTAATGGAAAGAGGGACCTGAGCTTTGTGCATGTCTCTACTCTTATTTTGTGTTAGGCGATAACTTCACATTTTCAAACATTTGTAATACGGTTATCAGATTCAACATGTAATCAACAGTCAGGCAGCATTTGTTTGAAACGTTGTTCTCTGACCGCATTAAGCTGTGTTGGTCATAATAATAAATGACAGTAGTGATATGTGCAGACCTGTGCTGCTCACATCTTCTGTTGAAAGTGAAAACGTTACATTCATTTCAGAAATGGTATTTGCCACAATGCTGAAAACTAGTCAACAGTCAAAATAATGTGTAGTTATATTTGTGAGCCTTTCACTACATCACAATTTTCTATTTATTTATCTTCAGTGTTTCTTTCTGAGCCTTTTTATTAGACTAATGGTGCAGGAACTACTTCTGTGTCAAGTTGAGCCAAACACTGAAATATGAAAGTCTTTGGAGAATGAAACAGGACTCCACTTTTCACAGCTGCTACAAATGTTTTTTTTAAATACAAGTCTTTAAATCTTCATTGATTTCAAATATTACAGAATGATAGAAAATAGGTCCAAATGAATGGACAAACCCCTTGTTATAGTAAAAGATGTTGTATGTTCCTCTCTACAACCACATTGAATCAGACGGTTAAAGATCAATTTCACAGGAAACCCAGATACAGCTTCACCAGCTCAGTAGTGTTGAGCTTTTCTCATGGGTGCTTGTACCCCCAAACTACCAATAATAATGATGCTTCATTAAGATTGAGCAAGTTCCAAAATATCATTAGCCTTACACCAAATGAGGCATTTGTACCTTATGAATATGAGCTGACACTTTGCTTTCAGCAGCAACAAATGTAGAAAATAGGTCACAGAATGAAGTACCATACTGGGCAACACTTAATAAAACATGCTTTTAATACTTATTGGTCAGCAGGCAGGAGGTTGCAACTCTGCAGTAGGTTCTGGCATCGCAAGTTTTAAAGTTGCAAGTGTAAAAAATGAATTTGCTATTAGAGAATACATCTCGGGTACTCATAACATAAACAAAGACCTAATTTGTTATGCAGTTATATCTTCAAGGCTGGGCAAACCTTGGCTGACCCAATGAACAATTACCATTTTTAATTGTGTCTTTTAAAAAAAAAAAAACTATAACAGGTCCACACTTTGTAAACTGTAAAATGCTGCCACTAAACTTCCACTTTGTTAGAACATGCACAGAGGAGATGATGACAGCAGTGCCCCCAGTTGCCTGAATGTTAGATCTGCTTGCCTGCTGGGGGTCTGGTTCAAAGCAGGTGAAAACGGGCACATTCACATTCTTATGAAAGCTGCCTCGGCGTGCTCTGTGGCGATGCTAGCAGCCGCCCTGAAAGAGACTGACAGCTTCTCTGTGGCAGCTCTGATGCTACAGGCGACGTGATGAATGAGAGGGAAAGCTGGAGAGATTTGTGTTTTGACACCACAGAGGTACTTACTATCCCCCCTCAATACTTCAGGGCAAGATGCAAGGTCTTTGGCTCAAACATGCAAGGCCTCTGACTTTCCTGTCTGCTCAAATGATATGTGATGTTTGAAATTACGTTTCAAAAATAATCTTATTTGTGATGCATTAATCATAACCAGCATGATGTCCTGGAGGCTTTGGAGGTTGGACTGAAATGGTGTTTTTTTTTTCTATCCTCCCATTTTGTAGTCCTCTTCTTTTTTTTCTTCTTACTGCTATTACTAATACAGGGCAGACTTCAAAAAGTGCTAAAAGGGTAATAAAAACAATCTTTTCCAATCACTGACATTACCCGTATACCAGATTTTAAACTGGTGATGTCAACAACTTCAATAATTGCTGTTTATAATAAAATGGAAAATAAAATTAAAAAGTAAATAAGCTTTGAGGAAAAACTTATTAGAAACACCAAAATGAGCATTATCTGCATTATTTTAGGATTCATTAAGCCATTACAACTCATCGCCCTCAAATCATTCTTGTATGTATAGAAGAAAAAACGAATGAGCAACATGAAAATGATTGAGAGTAGCAGTTTACATTACACATGAAAGAAAAACAGTCGAGTGGAACAAATGGGACAAATGAACCCAAAATGAAGATGATTTCTGGGCGTTATTGCAAGGAGCTCTTAGGAGTTAATAGACCAAGGGATTGAACGAATCATGTGCTGCTTGTGCGTTTCTGTGTGTTACTTGTGAGTAAAGGAGTGGAGTGAGTATACGTCAGTATGATTAAGTTGGTTTAGCGCTGGACAGTTGAAAGTCCAGGCAGATGAAGAGATGGAAGTGGAAGGATGTAGTGTAGTGCGAGTTGCGAGGAGTTTAGCGTCTCCTGTGAAAAGTCTGTCTAGGCCTGTCGTCAAGAAATGCCTGTGTGCTTTTCGCCTTGTTAAGTGGCTGTGTACAGCTGGTTCTATGGAAAGTGGTGCCACCACACAAAGCGCTGACAGGAGAGTAGCAGCAAATTGCAAAGAAATGTTTCCAATTATAAGTTAAGAGTCATCTCCAGATATAAACAACATCAGAGGGTATGGAGAAGAAAAAAAAACTCAACTCGAGATCTGAAGCTATGAAAAGGGTGAATGTCTGGACATTAGAGTTAGACAAAGCAGACAGAAGAAAGAAAAGATTTGACTATGGAACTAAGGAAATCCACCCTGCACTGCCGGGGGAGTGTGTGCCTGTTTGTTGACTGGGATGTTTGAGAGATGGTCCTAGAGGAGCAAACACACCCAACCAACCGAGTCAACGCTCATACGGCTCTCCCCTCAATATTCACTCTACTTTGACTTGACTTTCAAAGGCCAAGACTCTCTCCCTCAAAGGAGATGCAGAGGAAAAACAACAACAAAACTGCTGCTGCTGTCTATGTCAGAAATGAAAAATCTTGAAATAAAATGTCATGTTTCTCACGTTATAGTTAAAGTAAAAGCTGGTTTCTGTTTTTCTCTGCTTCTTTTTCGAAATATAATTCCTTGCATGTGGAGCTTCCACAAAACCCAGACCCGTTCCCCATATAATACTACAAATTTTAAGTGGCTGTTACCCATTTTCATTTTTCTGACTCTCTCTAGGAACTACAAAGACAAATGCCACTGGAAAATCCTTCACAGTCAGGAGTAGTCTCAAATTGCGTGTGGACAGACGAGATGATGGCGTCGCCTACACCTGCCATGTGGACCACGTGTCTCTGTCCAACCCTTACATGACCACTGAGGTCCTGGAGGTCCACTGTGAGTGCAGTCACACCCACCCTAGAAAGCAGGATTAGGCAAACGATTAGCAATGAGAAAAGACAAGGATTGAGATTACATTTATGTCTGCAGGTTTAGCTTTGCAATTGCTCAGGATTAGTGTGGGATTAGTTTGCAGGTAAGGGATTAGTTCCAGGCAGAACAGGGATATGTGCTAAAGCTAAGAGCTGCCCTATGGGTAAAGAACTAACTACTGTTGTACTTTGCCAGTGCTGCAGTTAAAGCCTCCTACACAGAGCGCTGTCACAGCATTGGATTCTTTTCCATCTCTTCTTCACAGATGCTCCCCATCTGGAGATCGCAAAATCATTGATTATTCCACAGGAAGGGCAATACTTCAAACTGGAGTGTGTTTCCATAGGCAACCCAATGTAAGTTGGCATTCATTTATAATCTCAATTTGGTGCCAGTTACTAGAATGACAAGAGGCCTACATTGGACTTGAAATGTGATTTATTTTCATTGAAGAAGTTTCATTTCTTTAGTTTTTTTATTTATTATTTCTTCACCTGTAGGAAATAGAAAGTAGAAAAAAGTATTGTTTGTATTTTCTTTGCCAGACCTGAACCAGTGCTGTGGTCTAAAGATGGAGGGGAGCTGCCAGACATCGAGCGTATGATTGTGGAGGGCAGGGAACTAACCATCACCACACTAAACAAAACAGACAACGGCACATACCGCTGCGAGGCGAGCAACCACCTGGGGACCGACAGTGCTGAATATATACTGTTTGTATATGGTGAGTCCAGAACAACTAGTCTTTTTATGGATGATCAGTTCTGTTGTTACTTTATATTCCAGGCAGAGGACTTTTAAGTCTGTGAAGTCTCGTGACCAAAGAGCGATCATAAAGCATGAAATCAAAGTAATTTTAATTTTAATGTTATGCTTCATTTATGTCTAAATCAAATAGATTTCACACTTGAAGTTTGAGACAGAATTACATTTTATTTGTGTTGTGAAGCTGTTATAGCGCAGGTTGATTTGAAAAGTTTCCAGAGTATGAACCAGCAACAAAATTGAAATTCTGAGGATGGAAATCAATTTCAGACGAGGTATTCACTGCGATTGATTACAAGTAATGATATTCAGTTATTTTTCTTACGCTGCTGAGATGAACTCAAAACCAATGGGCTGCCTTGAGCGGAGTAACAAAATGAAAAATATCTCAAATTCAACATGAAAAAATGGACAAGACTAATAAAGTAATTTTCACCCCCAGCAGACATAAACCTTTACAGTTTGCTTTTCATTCAGCTATGCACACTCACACTGATACCAGCTTTCCACTGGGGCTGCACCTATCCAGGTTCAAAATTAGAGTCATATGTTTTCAAATGTTAGTAAATTAAGCTGGCTCAGATATGAGAAATAGCAATTTGTGGACCTAAACTAATGCAAGAAAGTAATGTGCATTGTTACAGATGAATTTGTTTGCTGCAGGACACCCAATTTGTAGATTTCCTCTTGAGTCCATTTCCAATTGGTGCCTCTGCATTGCACAGGATAGCCCAGATTTCCTCGCTGAACTATACATATTGCCACACAGGTTTAGCTTTTGGACTGTCCCTGGGAGGAAATGGGGAAAAAGTGTTAAGGATGCAGAATTTAGCTCCCCGAGACCGCCTGGAGGAGAGATAAGTTAATCCGAGACAGTGGAGCTGCTGAGAGAATAAAGACAGCATGGTGCAGGGAATGGATCATTAATGCCTCTGCAGCACATGTTTATAAACGTTTATCAAATACAGGCAAGTAACAATAAAACAAATCAAGGAGAGAATATTAAAATTCAACATGGCGTTATTTGAGGGGCTTTTGTGGCTAATCAAACAGTCACACACGACAGTGCAGTTTGTTTCAAGACACTGGGTTCATTCAGGCTCAGGCACAGTCAGTGGATGCACAGCACACTCTTTGTCCGACTACAAGGGAAGAGGTTTTTGGGGAGAGGAAGGCCTTCTTTGACAAAAAAAATGAAGAAAGGAAGATGACACACACGAAAATTTGTCATAAAAACATATTTGTACTTTCCCAAATAAAAAAAAAAAAAACCTTTAAATGAGTTGAATTACCTGGGCTGCTTTCTACATGCGTTGTATCGGGGAGCTGTTTCTCCTATTTGTCAGATTACCCGAGGAAAGAGTTAAACTTGTAAGCAGCGCTCTCACACATAACACAAAGGTCCTGGTTCCTCGGGAAGGATGAAAAATTGAGTCAAGCGTTTAAAAGATGTGCGAGACGGGCTCATTTCCACTGATGATGACAGTCATTCTTCAGAGCTACGCCGTGTCTGGCTGAATACTTCCCGGGGTCTCTCCGGATCGTCTCAGCCTCTAAGCCTAATTTGCTAATGACAGGAGAGCTGAGAAGCAATAAATGTCATCACTCTGCCTCAATTTATCACCGTCTGCAATTATGCTCCTTCATACACTGTATTAAAAAAAGCAAAGAAATGGCGTATAAAAATGACTCTGAGTGAGATGTTAGACAATTGGTTACAGGTAGGAGTTTAGTTAAATACAGGCAAGGGGTGACTGCATCTGCTGGCTGCAGCTTCTCAGCCCTCACCCTCGTTTATCTCTTGTTCTTTCGTGTCAAAAAGCACGACATCAGATGGTTTTTATGTTCTCTGCATTGTGGTTTACTTTCCCACTAACACTCGACTGCCTGAAAAGGTAATCTATGTAGGAAATATGAGTCCTTCATTCATGACTTGACCTTTATTACAAATACTTTGCTGAAAGATTTCATTCATTCACAGCTTGTCCTTTGTGTGACTTAAAATATATCTAACCCTGCCTGTACTCACCGAGGTTAATCACAAACATCAACCCCATTGCACCAGCCATATAAAGTCCTTGATTAGTGCCATCTGATTTTAAGTTTCCTCATGTTGAGCCTCTTGTCCATAGAGGTTTGTCTTTGCTCCCTATTGTTCTCTTTTTTTTTTCTTTTTGTTTAGCAGGCATCATCACCTTATTGTCTCCATCTCCAGCTTCCTGCTTCTCTCTTAAGCCTCCACTCTTCCAATCTTTTTACGCTGACATTTTTGCATCAGGCAAAGGCAGTCACAGCTGCTTTCATAGGTCTGCTTGCTCTCCCCCCCCCCCCCCCAGCCCCACCTCAACACTCACAAACAAGACACTGTTGATGATTGATGAGCTAACAACTAGGCTTTGAGCTAGAAAATAGCATTGTTTTACTGGATGAATTCGATACTCTATTTTTTGTCTTTCTTTTCTGCTGTCATTTTTTCACGCACAGCTCCGCTGCCTCACCTGCATTTTTATTACTGCTTCTGATTAGATTTATTTTCCACAGCTAACAATACTCAGCCATTCAGCACATCAGGTTTTTACTGTTCGTCAACCATTGCTTACATTTGCATATTCACAGGAGCAGAAAATAGAAGACATGAGAGTGTTTATATTTTTGTTACAAGGCTGAATGGTTGCTACCATTACGACCAAACATAAGAGCACATGCAATTACCTCCGAATGATGTTTATCAAAATGACATGCTCCATGTGTTTACTTCCGTTCATGCCTCTGAATGGAATTAGAGTTGTTATGTGTGCCTTTGAACATGCTTAATGTTTGCCTTGATCGTCAAAATAACTTCAATGGGGCATTTAGTATTTTATATAAAGCATAACTGTTACTCACATTTGGGACGCGCTCTAATGTAGAATTTTTCAATGAACCCAACAGGGGCCATGTTACATTTTTCTGAAAACAGTTGCATTAACATTTAAATTGTTTCATCTAAACACATAATGACATTATTCTTAAGGCAGAGCAAACATGTTGCATTTAATGTCATATGAGATATTTACTTTTTTTTGTTCTATATCCTAAACCCTGAATTGCTTCCATCCATGTTTATTAGCTTGTTGTCTTATTGATTGTGTTTGAGAGCAAAACAGTCAGCAGAAAAGCTGGAAACTGGTATCAGCAATATGTAGTGCTTTGACTGTGCAGTAGAAACAAAAGAGGAGCCCACTAATGATAACTTTTGCTTCATAGAACTATCGGTGTTAACATTAGTTATTTTCTACCACACCTATCCTTCATTACTCCTAAGGCGACTGCATGCTCTCTATATTAAAGAGTTGGTCAACACAAAGTGCAAATAACACGTTTTCTAATTTACCTCTAGGGATGTTAGCTCTTCCGTTATTTCTGGTTTTATGATATTTGTCTCATGATCTATGCATTCTCGTAATGGTGGTGAGTGGATTTTTATTTAATGCTCAAAATTTTAAAAAAAGGAGCAAAAATGTTTGTGAGATGCTTTTCAGCCTGAGCAGCTACCGAATATCTTTACGGCTCCATATTCCAAGACTTCAGTGGGAAAATCTCAGTATGTACATTTTTGTTTTCATCCTGTCCTTATTTATGTATCTTGTACCGCTCTCTCAGTGACCTTTTCAAGTAACTCCAGTTAAGCATTCATTTGCCTCTGACAGCAAGCCCCGCTTACCGTCTCCACTGCACGCTGTCAAAGTGAAAAGTAGAAAAATAGTTCATGCTAATATCTCATGTTTCCTTTGAACTTTGTGGTCACCTTCTTTATCACGGTGTTGTTCCCCTCGTCTTCCCCACTGCTGTCAATGTCTGCAACCATGGCAACAGCCAAAGACTTTCCAGGGCCTACAACAGGTAAATATCTCTCTAGCAGTCATTGCAAGCCAGATTAACAGTATGTGATGCTGGATCTGGATTTGGGTCAGGACACATCACGACCTCCACACAGCATGAGCAAACCATCACCATGCATGGATGCTCACTCTGCTGACGCCAGCTGCTTTGTCTCCAGCCATGTCACCGGCTGCATAAGTTATCACACAATATGTTTCTGGTTTGGTTTGTCTTTGCACAAAGAAAAGAGACGGCTTTATCTGAGCGGAGCTGGCCTGGAGATTGTTTCTGTGCCAGTGTTTAAATATTTGATTTCAGATCTTGTTTACAGCAAAGGGGAAGTCCAAATTCTTGGTGGGAACTCTTTATCTTTCACATT